ATTTCAACATATAATTTTCTGACATTGTTTCCTCTGTATCAGTAAATTCACAGAATATTTATAAAAAAGTTATCGCTTTTTGATATTCTCACATTTCTGAACATTTTCTGAAGGTCAATGTACTTTTAGAAAACCCAAATACACCAGCAGTCATTCTTACATTCATTGTTTTATCAAAAACATTTTTTAAGATTTTCTTCATTTATAAATCTTTTACATTCTTTTTATAACTGCGCACCATTTTTTAAACTTAGTTCAGTTTAATTTGAGGATAAGTCTGTTATTAGGTGTGTAATATGTTCTAACGTGCCCCATGAAAATTGTTCGATGCTGCCTTGTCGATGATCTCAGGAAAGTGAAAATTGTCCGATGCTGCCTCAACCTTGATCTCAGGAAACATAACAAAAATTTTTTGTTTTATCGTTGAATTTTTTTATTTACATCTCAGAACATTTCCCTTTCAGTGAAAATGTAAAAAAAAATCATTTGGAGTGTAAGTTTAATTGTAAATCCTTATGCTTAAAACTTAAAAAAATTAGAAAAAATTAAAAATCATAAAACGTTGGTAGAGAAGCTCTCTAACCACCTTCGTTAAAAAAATCCTGTGACGCTTATGTTTGAAAATATTTCTTACCCACTTATATATTTAACTTGGCTGAAAAGTTTGTATTTTTGTCCTAGACTGCCTCCTTCTCCCTTAAATAAATTAATCTTTGGCCCTAATTTCCTTAAAAGTTAAAGAAACTTTTTTACACATAACTCAAGGTTATATGCAGGTAAAATTTGTTTTTATACAGTTAGTGAAATTTTAAAACAAAAAATAACTTTTTCAAAATTTATATTTTTAATTTTTAAAAACCCACTAAAATGTTAGTTTCAGGTTTTGAAACTATTAATTTTGAGAACAAGCATACTTTAAATAAAATAAAAAAACAACAAAAAGCATGCAATCAGAATCATTTCTAATGTGGGCCGTTAATTACACTCCCAAGCATTATTTGTTAATTCAAATATAATAAATGTTTATCAATTAATTGCCTATCAAATTCTCATATTTATGTTCAAAATTAATAAAAATATATCTCCTAAAATATTTTACCCACTATTCAAAATAAATCAGAACAGATATCTCTCAACGGGCTCAAACGTGAAACGTCTATAAAACGTCTTGCGGACGTCACAGGATGTCCTTAAGACGTCCTGGGCTAACCAGATTTTCAAATAACAGTTATATTCAACCCAAAAGTTATTTTGCGGCGACTGATTTTCAATTTTTACTAGAAGGCCAAAATTATGGAATAAAATATTAACTAATGAACTTAAAACAATTGCTATGCTAAATGAGTTTAAAAATAAATTGAAGCAAAAACTACCGATGTACGACGAAGTACTCAGCTTTTTCTGAAGTTTTAATGTTTGCTACAGTTAAACTTCAGAAAAGAATTGTGCCACTTGTTATTGCTGCAATTCTTTATTTTCTTTTTTTTATAAAAACATTATGATTTATAAGAACTATTCACATATTTCTAGGTATATGCTGGTGTGAAAGGAAAGCTTCAGGATTATGCGTATTTGCTACCGTACTTTTTAGTAATATAGTTTCTTTCTACTAATTATTATTTTTTTATTTTTTATTTTAAATTTTTTTAACAAAAACTAAAAGTTAAAGTAGGACTTTAGGATTGATGATTTTTATTTTATCAAGTCTTTAGTAAAACGTTTTATATTATATAGTGTTACGTTTTTTAATTTTTTTTGTTTTATATTTACGGTATAGCCTAAGAGGCTTGTATTTTTCTTGCCCCTGATATTTGTATTTATATTATGAGTATTTTTCTTGCCCCTGATATTTGTATTTATATTATGGTTTACTGCTTGAATAAATTTTTGCGGTAAAAAAAAAATATTCCGTATTTTAGACAAATTAAAATAAAAACCAATTAGTTTCTTTTTTTATTTAAAAACGTTGAATTGTGCAAAAGCTTTTGTTAATAAAACCTTAAGTTACTGCTTAATTCTTCAACTATAATCAAAAGTTAAATTAGAGTTTTGAAAGTTAAAAATTTTCTTTTTACAATAACATCTTTATCAAAACAATGATAATTTTCAGATTCAAATGAAGTTAATACTAATTTTTAAAAAATTTGAATCACTTATTAAATGTAATTAGTGATGCAAATTTTTTTTGCAGAGGAGCACACTAACAACCTTAGAAGCTTTTTACGTACATCCAAAAAAACGTAATAAAAAAAATTAATGCTAGAAACTTCTTGTAAAACAGTTTTTGAAGCTAATAATTTTTATAAATTTTTTCATAATTTTTCAAAGTATTTATTCAATAACCTTTGTAAGAATTTTTTAAAATTTTTTTAAAGCCAAGAAAACATTATTATCAAACAGTAAAAAATTTAATGAGGACAAAAATTGAGTAAAAACTTATAACATTGTGTATACAAAAAAATTTCACGATAGTCTGTTAGTACGCTTCTAGTAGCCAAGGCTAGAATTATGAAAGAACAGCAGAGGGTTACAAGACGAAAAATAATACGTATATTGTAAAAGGAAAAACACGTAACTCATTGGTACTTCATATACGAGATTTTCTATTTCATTGTCGTCAAATATTTTAAAAAACCCAGAGAAGTATAAAACAGATGGAAGTTTATCAAGCGGTAAACATTAAAGCAAGTTTAAGTCATCTCGAGAGTTGCTCGTTGCACCAACAATAAAAAAGTAAACGAGTTTCACAAAAAATCAACTACTATTCAATAAAATGATTTTTATTAAAACAGCAAAAAAATTGTTTTATTGATACGATAAATAGTTTTTACCATTACTATATTAATGGTAAAAATAATTATAACTATAGCTATAATTATTCAACAGTTGTAATTAATATCGAATTTAATGCTGTTGCAGTTTTTCGTGCGTGTTTTTTACGCGGAGTTTTTTAACAAAGATTTAGCTAGGATTACCGGGACTGGGTTCGGGCTGGGAATTGATCTGTGTTCCAGATCAATTCGAGCAAAGTTATTGCCGCAAATTGAAATCACAGCGTTTTCCAATCAAGAGCAATTTTATTAGCATTGTTTTCATTAAAAGTTTTTAAATAAATATGATAAAATTGAAACATTAGTTTTTTAAAATTGAAACATACTCGTGTTTCTTAAAATATCTATAACAAAAATGTTTATATATTTTGATAGCAGTATTCAGATATTTATTTAACAAACAATTTTGCAAGTCTAAAAGAGTTTGACAAAGATTGTCTAATTTCTTGTTTATTTTTGTCAAGTTGTTTCAAAAAGATCATGCTTACCATTTATGTTATTTATTCAATAGAGTAGTATTTTATTTATACAATAGCAGTTCAGAGATAAACTATAATACATATACTTAATATGCAATATTATCACATAGCAATATAGTTAATATGCAATATTATCACATTGCACATAGCAATACTAAGATAGTATTGGTATGTGCCTTATAATTTACCACTGCACTGCTATTGTATAAATAAAATACTGCTCTATTGCATAAATTACATACATGTTAAACATGCATGTTATTTATGCAATAGATTATGTAATAATAATATTAATATCAATAAGCAAATTTTTAAAAGTGTCTAAAGTGTAACCACAATGTAACAATAAAACTATATATGATAAAAACTTCAATAAACTAAAACAAGCTGTTATATTATCTTTTTAGAGTATGCTATAAAATTAATTAAAAATACAATTATTAAATGCTTCTTAACTTCAAAATAAAATTGAAAATATAGTTTTGATCCTAAATATTGCAAAAAACTTATAATATAAGTTTTTGTTATATTTAAGATCAAAACAGTTTTGATCCTATATATTAAAATATGATATATAAAACAAGCTAAATATATTAAAATGAGATATATTAAATATTAGATTACTTAATATATTAAAATTATAAAGCCTTAAAAATCGTATTAAAAAAAAAATAGTTTAAAAACCAAAAGTTTTATATAAAAACACGGTGGTTATTTTTGATAAATTTTCTCCTGCTTTCTAAGATTTACGAGGTTTTAAAAAACTATATTCTTGCGGACATAACGAAAACATTTTAACTATGTTTAAAACACGGTGTAACGCGTATTTCGTGGGGGTGAGGTGTATTTGTTGGTGGGGGGTGAAATGTTTTATTTGGTAGGAGAAGTGGGTGAGATTTTTTTATACACAGTGTCACGCGTATTTAGTGGGGGGAGGGGTGAGGTGTCACGCATATTTTTTTTTGGGGGGGGAGGTCGAAGTGTCACGCGGATTTGGTGACTATTCTGTATTCGGCCTGTTTGGCAACTTTTTTTACTGTTCGGTTGACTATTGGAAACAATTCGGCCAAATGATATATAATATGTCGAACAGGCGAGATTTTATACGAAGCCGTTTTTTTTTTATATATAATAAATTTAGGAACAGTTATTTTACACGTATTTTAATTACCTCTTGACACTTTTACATTAATAGTATTTATATTTAAAATATATATTTACTTCATTTAAAAAAAAAAAAAAAGTTTAAAAATTTATTCCGCTATTAGTAAAAAGGGTAAAAGTGGCTTTACTTTTCGGATCTAAGTTAGACATATTGTTTATATATAACGCTTTAAAACGGATTACAAATAACTATTTTTTAAAACTTTTGAACTTAAAAAAAATTTGGCACTTAAAATCTAAGATGGTAGATTATGATAAAAATATTCAGCACACACACATATATATACATATATTATATATATATATATATATATATATATATATATATATATATATATATATATATATATATATATATATATATATATATATATATATATATATATATATATATATATATATATATATATATATATATATATATATATATATATATATATATATAAATATTGAACTTAAAAAAAATTTGGCACTTAAAATCTAAGATGGTAGATTATGATAAAAACATTCAACACACACATATATATATATATATATGCGCGCGCGTATGTAAACGTTGTTTGTTTTTTAAATATTTAGGTGCTTCACTCATTACTCGTCTCAACCCGTTGCTTCTTAAAAATTGGATGAAGTGCAACATTATCTTTACCATCAGTAGAAACTCCAGAAAAACATTGATTGCTTTTAAGCTGATTAAACTTTTTAAAAATGTTTTCATATTGCTTTTTGATATCATTATGAAATTTATGACTTGTATCAAAGATTTTTTTTGCTTGTTTTTCCAAACTAGCAGCAGTATTCATGTTATTTTGACAATTTTTAACTGCCGTTTCGAGTAACTTAATAAACTCTTGTTTGTCAGACCCTTGAGCACCAATTTTTTCCATGGCAACATCTAGAGCAAGCCAAGCAGTCTTAAGAAACAAATCTGGAATATCCTTTTTAGCAAAATATCCAATGTAGCAGTACAATTTATCTTTTGAAGTGGAAAAAATCTAAAAAAAAGTAACAAAAATTAAAATGTAGAAGCACAAGTAACTCACAAGCGTGAATAAATTTTTTGTTGTTATATTTATTACTTGTAATGTTCATTCGTGAATAAAATGAAAATTGAAATGTTTTTCTTATGTCCATAGGGATTTAAAAAAGTATATTAACTTGGATCTCGAAAGAACCAGAATTTATAGAGATTTTAAAAAGAATAATGATTTTAAGTGACAATAAAATGTTTAGATTTATATAAAAAACAAAAACTGGCAAGTACATTTTTTATGACATTTTATAGTAGTTTTTTTAACCAAAAAAAAATTAAACACTATATATATGATTTAACTAAATTCTCAATAATTATTAAAGGATTATGGAATGCAGATTGATGAAATGGATTATGGGATGCAAATTGATGAAATGGAATAAGATAAGTAATTGTAATTTTAAATTTTGATCAATTTAAACAAAAATTAAAACTTATTATTTTATCTTTGAAAATTATGAAACTTTATTTTGTATTGAAAACATTTAATTCTTTAATTACTTTTTTTTCCTTTCGTTCAGTGTTCAAAAAAACAATAACAACAAATACAATTAGTCTATTTATAGTTTGATGAAGAGGTGCTACGCTGGCAAAAAACAAAAACACGCTACAGACAAAGCAGCAATTGTGGCTCTAGAAGTTACTTTGTTATGCTGTCTTTAAAATTTATTGATGAAGCGTTCACTGTTGCTTGGAAAAGCGCATTGTTTGAAAAAAATTTAACAACTCTGTTTAAAAAAAGATTTATGTCGTCTGTCACAATTTCTTGCTAGTTAGCGTTCTAGTTTTTTTTTTCTAATTATGCCCTCTCAAAATATACATAACTTTTCTGTTTGAAAGTTTTTGCGGGACAAAAAACTGACAAGTTTGATTTGACGCGTGATTTTAAGACCTCGATAAGGTCTGCTCTTTCACGGCGTTCTTCTAGTGTTGTTCGACCAAACTGTTAGAGTTCATTTTCTTGCGGCAATTAGGCTTGCACAGCAAACTCGCGAATGTAAATGAGATACAGTGTGCGCCGTAAATAAAAACTGCAACTGCAAAATGTTTTTTTGAGTCGCCCTAACATTCTTTTCGTTATTGACGCGACTGACTTTAATGGTGGTCTGACGTTAAGGTCATTGGAGACCATCACACCAAGGACTCGTTTGACTACAATCTTTTTGAGTGGAAAACGCGTGTTGTCAACGTTAGCCATTGAATATTCGTGCGTCGAAATGCATTACTTTGCATTTCTCAATGTTGGAATGCATAAGCCGAATGTGTGACATTCTCTAAGGTGAAATTGATGGGGCATTCCACTGCTCCGTCAATTTCACCTTAGAGAGTGATGCTGTTTGATTCATTACTAATTATACCAATAATTTTACTGTTGTCAACATACAGTTTTATACGATGAGCGATGCCGTCCGACATGTTATTAATGAAAATTACAAAGAGCAATGGGCCCAAGAGCTTTAAGGCACACTACTAGTAACCGCTTGCCATTCAGTTATGATGCCGGTGATGAACAATCGATGAATTTGTTGCCTAACCAAAATGATATTCAGTACATGAGCCCCTTCGATGAACAAAATGTATTAAAAATACTTTTAATCATTTTGCATGGAATAGGTGTGAGTAAGATAAGAAGGCTGGTAGTTTGATGCATTTAGTTTACTCCCTTCTTAAAAATAGGCGTTACATTCAATTTTCTCCTTAAGTCGGGAACACCAGTCGCAAATGAGCACTTGTAGATAAGCGAAAGATGTTTGACAAAAGTAGCTGCACATTTACTTAAAGAACCGCGAATGTAAGCCGTCGTAACTGGTTGATTTCTTTCATCAAAGTGGTTGAGACACTTTTTTACTATATCTAATGAAAAACAAGCAATACTTTTTCAACTAATTATTTTAGGTGCTCCAAGAAGTCATTATGGACTTATCACAGATCACGGTCTTATCACAGAGCACCGCGGAAAAGCATTTGCAAAGGTGTTCACGCCTCCTACCTTACCGATATATTATAATACTTGCCTAGAGGTGGTTTTGAACCACGGATCTTCAGTTTCTGAGCAGTGGTTAGCGCGCTAACCACTGGATACGGTTGCTCTAAATTTTGACGATACAAATTGTTTCCGTACGACTTTCAAAAGCTGGCAATAGAACATTGGGTTACTAAACAAAAATGGATTGAAAATATTTTTTTATATATGATATGAAATATCATATATAAAAGATATAAAAATATTTTTGTCATTCAACAATGAGGATATACCACCAATATCGATTGCGATGTTGCTATACTGTTTCTAGCAATTTAATAATGTACTTGACGCTCTGTTTGCTTCATACATGTTAACGTTTAGGGTTGCTTTTGGACTCTTCGGTGAGTTACTCTTTGTTATTGTGTCAAGCAGATATTAATAACCCTAGACCATTTTAGTAACGTTTTTGCATGCAGCGCAATGTCATTCTTTGAGTAATTTGTGCGTATCGGGACCTACATTAATGTACTTGGCCCTAGAGGCACGTTTAACCTTGACCTTAATAAGATCTGGTGTTGCCCATTACTCCTGTTTCTCAGTAAAGAGAGTAGTTGTTGATGTGGTGTATGGCTTAATGGCTTCATTATACATGCCTACTAGAAACTGGTAGTTATCTTTTGCATTTAAACCAGTCAATTCTGTTTCCTACAATGTGCACAGATATCAATGCTAGTTTCTTCAGCTCCAAATAAGTTGAGGTTGTAGCGGCAAACTAGGCGAATTATCAAGACCTACAACAGTATGTTTTTTTATTTTAGTTTTATTAGTTTATTTCGCCGTTAAAAATATTCACCTTATCACCGAGCCCCAATAGTAACACAAATAAATATCCATGATATATAATAATCCGCAATATATAAGCAGCAGCATTTAAAAAAAGAACAATTTTAAGATGTTAAGAAATAAAAAAAAGGAATAAAAAAAAAAAAAAGAAATTATTAAAATATAGTAATGAAAATGACAAAAATTTTCTGCTTTTGGTTATAAACTGAACGTAATTCGATATATATATATTGTATATATATATATATATATATATATATATATATATATATATATATATATATATATATATATATATATATATATATATATATATATATATATATATATATATATATATATATATATATATATATATATATATATATATATATATTTAAATAATTCGAAATTAAAATTTCTGTTCCAATATCATAAAATATATCAAGAAAATTGATATATTGAAATTCTTAATATTGCTCTTTTGTTAAATGGTCTAGATTTTTAAATTTATGGTGCTGATTTGCTTTAATAACTTTTAAAAGTGACAGAGAAAATCTGTTATATTAAAATCCGTAAGTACTAAATAACGTGAATTGCGGAAATGTTTTTTCTTTAATATTAACAATATGCTGAAAATTTTTCCACAAAGTTGGTCCCCGGTACTGAATAGAATAAGAACATAACTTTAGATTGTATTTTTGAGTTACAAAACTGTTTTCTGAGAACTTGGTGGGGTATTTGTGGCATACTTCTCTAAAATAAGGATAAAATATTGTTGGAGACAGTCCATGCTTTATTTGATACATGAACTGTATGACGAGGAATATGTTGATTTTAAACACATTTAATGCATTGAGTTTACGTAGAAGTGGCTCAAAAGGCACAGTTCTTTTTGATGTTGACCTTTAATGAAGCAGTGTGCCTGGCCCATTGGAATGTTACCAAAAGAGTCACCGTGTTCGAGAAAGATAGCACAGTCTGGCTCAATTATAATGATCAGATTAAGCGTGCTTGTGGGCTCGACGTGCCGACTACTACAGTGCGTTAGGATTCTGACAAGCTAAGTTATGTGACATTTATCAAGGCACTTTTGGAACCTGATATTGCTTTGACGCTGATCTTTCATATGAGAAAAAAGTCAGGTGCGAACGCAACTATTGATACTTGAAAAACTTAAGAAAAAAAAATGAAACAAAAAATATATGTAATGCGTAACTCGTTTTTATATAGAATTAAAAATATGTTAAAATCCTCTAACAATAGTACTTAGGTTTTATATATAAACAGGTACTTATTTATATAAATGTAGTTATATGAATAATTAATAATAAAATTAATGTACATTAAGTTACTCTTCCAGTCAATAAAACATAGTAGTATTTAGTAGAAAGAAAATATATAGTAAAATGATAGTTACAAGAAGAAAAAGTTGGAAAAAAAAAGTATTTTACTAGAAATTGTACAAAGAAAACGAAACTGAGAAGAAGAAAAAAAGAAATTATATTTATTTAAAAAAGCAAAAACTCTAAAACTTTCAACTAAAAAGCAAAACGCGTCTTATCTATTCAGAAGTTTTATCTACTAGAATCTAATATCTATTCAGAAGTAAACTTATATTATAGTTAATTATTTTATCAGGATGTAAATTGATAAAAAATTTTATTAATAATTTGGAATATTTGAAAGAATATATTTTCAATAAAAAATTTTTCTTTATTTTAATTATTAATTAAAAAAATTAAATTTTATAATTTAAAAATTTTTTGATTACAGCTTTTTTGAAAATTAATTTTTAAATTCTGAACTTCTTTAATTTTTTAAATTAGGAATTCTTATCTTTCTTTTAAATTTTAATTTGATATTGAATTTAGGATGAGAAAAAAAAAATTTATAGATTTTTAAAACTTAACCACAAATTTTAAAATACTTTTAAAAAATTATCTAAAATTAAATTTTCTACAGAATGAATTTTTGTATAACAATTTAATTATTATGATTCAACAAAAATTTTTATTAATCTAAGATATTTATTTTATTTTTTTTGATCACTACATTTTCGAAATGAGAACAAATTAATAAAAGTTAATATTAGGTAATATAAGTTAAATCAATTTAACTAATTGGAAAATTGCCGAATTGACAAATATTGGCAAAAATCTTTAGTTGAAAGG